TCAAGTCAATGCTAAGCTTCTTTGTCTTCCCCGTCGTGTTGTTAACGTAAAAATAACAATGGTGACACTCTATGCAAAACGTGATGTTCTTTACAGGACTTATCACAAATATTCTACTGAATAAATAATCTAGAATGCTTCACCGATAAAATAATTATGTAAATTACTTACAGGAATCATTCAATTTAAAACGATATTTTCTACTGTACAAATAATTTTGTCTTTTCGTATTTTGCATTATTCGTTGTCAAATTTTTTATCTAAAAATTGTTCTGAAAATTGAGTTTTATTTTCTTTTTTTTGTTTTTAATAACATAAAAACCTAACATCATACAGTAATACTGAGAAATGGATAAAAATATTCAGAATTGATGGGCGTACGAATAATTTCGTCGTTGACTGACATGAAGAGAATAAGGTAAATCGTAACAGATTAAGACAGATCGATGTTAATCGACTAAGATCGATCTGAACAGACTAACATATAGATAAATTGGAAGACTCAAATAGATACATATATTTAAAATAGATATCAAAGATTGAACAAAATAAGGTCGATGGAACGGAGGAAACTAAGATGGATGGGAACAGACTCATATATATATATATAGATCTGAACAGACTAAGATAGATTGATCTTAAAAAATTAAGATTGTTTCGAAAATACAGATATATTAAGTTAGATGTGAACAGACAGATAGATCTGAACACGTTAAGACAGATCTAAACGGACTAAGACAGATATGAACAGACTATGATTTTTCTGAACCTACTCAGATCGATCTGAATAGATTAAGATATGTATATAGATCTAAAAACTCAGATAAATACATATATCTAAGATCTGAACAGATCGGAGCAAACTAAGATAGATCTGAAATAACACACACACACACACACACACACACACATATATATATATATATATATATATATATATATATATATATGAGAGAGACCTGAAAAGACTAAGATCATTATATGGATCTGATCAGACGAGGATAGGGAGATAGATAGATCAGTTTGAACAGACTAAGATTGTGCTCTGAACAAAGTAGTCAACGGTTCTGAACATATATAGTTGTGAACAGATTGAGATAGATCGTTCTGAAAAAAATTTAAATATATCTGAAAAGACTAATATATCTAAGATAGATCTGATCCGACTCACATTGATTTGAACTGACTCAGATAGATATGAACAGACTAATATATAGATAAATCTAAAAGTCTCAGCTATCTACATATATCTAAGATATATCTATCTAAGATCTAAAGAGATTAAGACAGATATATCTGAACAGTTTAAGACACATCTGACAAGCTAAGGTAGTTACTAACACTCAGATCTGGAGAGACTGATAGATCGATCTGAACCGACTAAGATATATAGAAAGATCTATAAAGATAGGTACATGCCTAAGAAAGATATATCTAAGATCTGAAGAAAGACAGACAGATCGAAGTGGACGAAGTCAGATAGATTAGAACAAAGATAGATCTGAAATGACTTGTATATAATTAAGTAATTCGAGTTTAAGAGAAATCTCAACAGAATGCAGAAAGCACTGGATGGCCGTTTTGTCCTGTATTTGGGACTCATCAGCAGTGCACATTCCAACTGTTCCAACGGGCCTCGGTGACGAAGAGGTATCGAATCAGACTCGATATAGCGCCGCCTCGATCACATATTCTGATGAGTCCCAAATATAGGACGAAACGGCCGTCCAGTGCTTTCTGCATTCTGCTGAGATGTCTTCTCGACTCGATGAATTGCTATATTATAATTATCTCAAATCCTCCTAATTTCTATCACATATATAAGATAGATTGATCTGAACAGTTTCAGATGTAGATCTGAACAAACTACGATTGATATAGCTGAATAGAATGAGATCGATAGATCTAAACACAATGAGATAGATAGATCTTAACAGATTTAGATCGGATATATAATAAAGTAGATAAATAATTTGATAGACATGTTGATTTTTTTCCAGATATGAACAGATTGAAATACGGATATAGAATTATACTCTAGCCATCTATTTTAAAAGTGTTTTAAAAATTCGAAAGTAACCATTTTTCCCCAAGCCTAGGATGAATAAAACGTCCTTAATTCACGTGAAGAGAATAATTCCTTACTTTCATTATATTTCTATTTCCTTTTATCTTTCACCATGCCATTGTTACGTGTACCAGCCCTCTTGTAGTTGCTCATGGCGAATATAGAGTTAATTAATCTTCGAGATCACTCGCAATGTTCCTTTGCAATGAAGGTTTACCCTGAAGTATTGCAGATTTCATAAGTAGATTACTACGAAATACAAAAATGCTTTTAAAGTCTCCTCAAAATGATGAAAAGTGGTTAACTCCCAACTTACTGTCAGCGAAAATTGAACCAACCAAATTTTCTTGTCAAATTATATACATGGTCGAAAACTACAAAACCAGAAAGAGACTAGACATGTTTTTATTCTTATATTTCCTGCCAAAATTTTCGACATGTCAAGAATGGTGAACTAAATAAACTAATAATATCAGGTTTTTGAAATATCTGGTGTATACAAATGTTTCCAGCAAAAAAAACAAATGTATTTCGACTACGTTTCCATGGTCTTTTCCTTCTTCTATGTATCATTGTATTCTTAGAACTTCGGCCATCATGGGCCGTGACATCTTATCATCTCTCCGTCGTCTCTCTCGATGTCCTGCCACCCAAATTTTACCCACCCTGATTTGGTAGGCGACTTGCTGTTTCTCTCTGTCCTCTCTTCTTCGATATGTCTTGTGACTATCAAATTTTCCAAACCTTCTTTCCTCATTATGTGTTCTTGCAATTTCCACTGTCTCTTTCTGGTTCTAGGTATAAGTGTCCTTTTTTCTTCCATTTTTTATTCATACTTCATCGTTACTCACATGTTCAGTCCTTATAGGAGGGCCAATGTATCCTTAAAACTTCCACGTTACTACTGAGATCTTCTTCACACTTCTTTTTGCATGAACGGACAGCTTAATGTTTATCGGCGGGAAAGTGGAACTGGCGAGTTGAACTTAACTCTGACAGAGCCTTTTACATTCGCTTTAGACCAACAATGCCAGGAATTACATAGATTCCTCTCACCAACCAACACAACAATACATTAAATAATGGTTTTCGAGTACCAGATAGTCTTGGAAAGGGACAACACCGAATCCAAAACAGAATTATAATGATTACGAGTACTCGAGAGAATCCTAACTGCCTTCTGCCAAATGTTGCATCAAAAAATGTTCTCCAATAACAATTCAAACCCATATTTTAGTTTACCTACTACAACATTTTCATGCTGTTTAACATGTCACTGACCTAACAAGCGCTCTATTAAAACACGTCTCTTCAGTCAACACAACAGGTAATCAGACAAAACCTTAGCAACAACACAAAGGAGCTATAACTCATATAATGCAAAAAGAAACTACAATTGCTCCCGGCATTATGCATAAAAACATTCCGCCAAAAAATTCGACCAAATACACGAAACTTCAGAACTAACATGCTAAATATATTTTGTTAAAATAAAAAATAGTAGACACGAACATTCGTGTGAATATGCGAAACGCGATATTCAGAAAATTAAACTAACAACATGGGTTTTTGAAAATTGCTAGTGTTAGCCAAAATTACTTAGACATAGAAAGTTTTATAAATTTATCAAATAGACTATGGATTGAATTATTATAAAGATAGACACATTCTCTTATAGTAGCGCTTGCATCAAATTCTAGCACTAACAATCCCTTCTTCCTTATTTTCAGGGCAAATCAATCTTGCAATGACTTTATATTATGCATATAAAATTGTTATTCTGTCTAAAATGTTTGCACTAATTATTAACCAATGAAAATAGATGATATGATTAGTTATTTTTGAGATTCTGTCAGGCATGCTGAAAAGTTTTTGTCCTCGTCAAAAAGATATTCCGAACAAAATTCTGATGTTTGGCCATTTGGTTCGATTTTTGCATAGAGCCGAGAACTTTTCACCCCCACATCATATAGTGCGAACCAGAGATTTTTCGTTTATTTCTTACCTTTGCCAAAGCCGGTATTTGGTCCAAGGTAAAAGCTAGGCATGAGTATATTTATAAATTGGTATGTATAATTACACACATTATATATATATATATATATATATATATATATATATATATATATAATTTAAATAAAAACAGATCACTTTAAGGTTCCATGTAATAAATTATTTCACCACAGCCCTTTTAAAAAGACTGTGGATCATCAGACTTTACTTCCAAACCTTTTACCAAATTTTATCCTCCTTAGGTTTACCCATACGGATTACCTAGTTTTTCATTATATATATATATATATATATATTGGACTCTCCCGTCGAATTCGATGTATGAGGGTCAAGCAGCTCAGTTCCTAGGAACCAACAGCCAAACACCAGAGTGATGAAGGCTTCATGCAGAACCAACCACAGTTTTTGAAGGGCCGATACAGAGACTTGGTGCACTATGTGCCACAAGAACCCAAAACGATCCTCCCCATATATTTTGAATTCAGAATTGTCCTTCTTGATCAGTACAATATTTTGTGGAGAGAGGGAAGTAACATAACTTTTAAAAAGCTAACCCCAATGTTTACTTTGCAAAAAATAGCGAACTCAAAGAATAAAACAGTAAGTAAACTTCTTAAGTAGTTTGTGTAAATGGATGGCAGAACATAACTCGGGAATGGTAGTAAGACGACAAACATTTCTATGAGCTAGAAAGGATAGAAAATGGGCACCTCGTCTTGGTGTGATGGTTAGCTAGCTTGTCTCGCTAAAACAGTTACAACTGAATAGTGAGTTCGATCCACACTGGGTGCCCCATACTTTCGGCCTTGGGCCACATCTAAGCTACTCTCAGAAAATCAATATACAAGGGACAGAAAATCGTGGATGGACATGATGTCGCATGTTTCTAATGTACACAACATATAAAAGGAGACAAATCATGAGATTTTTTGTCGACCAGTGAGGAAACAAAATCACAGAAAAAAGTCATTGACTAAAAATAAGCCTTGAGAGAAAACCTGACACCTACTTCATCTCGTACATAATGTCTATTGGAGTGCATTCAAACTATACTGAATGCCTCCACTTATGGACATAAGCCATACAAATTTAATTAACGCCCTGATTATATGCGGATAGTGTAAATATTATTATTATTACCGGTTCGAATAAAAAGGACTTCCCGTCCGAGTTTGAATTCCGACTTCAAACTGTTGAACACACTTCCGCACTAATGTCATTTTGAATCTCTGCTCCACTTAGGAGTTAAATAACTGAGTAGACACGGTGCTCTCGCCTTGGGTGGCAACCAGTCTAAGAGTATAAGACTTAATTCAAACCGTAAAGAAAAGGCAACACGGAGTCACTCTACTATGTTTTCAAAGAAAGCATAATTCACAGTTCTTTCTTTTCCCATTTTTTTCCCATTTTTTCGCCTTTCTTTCTTTTCCCATTTTTTCGCCTTTCTTTCTTTCTTTTTTTTCCATTTTTTTTTTTTTCCCCTTTTTTTTCTTTCTTTTCCCATTTTTTTCGCCTTTCTTTCTTTTCCCATTTTTTTCCCATTTTTTTCCCCTTTTTTTCTTTTTTTCTTTTTTTTTTCCCATTTTTTTCGCCTTTTTCGCTTTCTTTCTTTTCCCATTTTTTTTTTTTTCTTTTTTTTCCCATTTTTTTTCGCCTTTCTTTCTTTTCCCATTTTTTCGCCTTTTTCTTTCTTTTCCCCATTTTTTTTCGCCTTTCTTTCTTTTCCCATTTTTTTTTTTTCTTTCTTTTCCCCATTTTTTTTTCGCCTTTCTTTCTTTCTTTTCCATTTTTTTTCGCCTTTCTTTCTTTTCCCATTTTTTTTTTCGCCTTTCTTTCTTTTCCCATTTTTTTTTTCGCCTTTTCTTTCTTTTCCCATTTTTTTCGCCTTTCTTTCTTTTCCCATTTTTTCGCCTTTCTTTCTTTTCCCATTTTTTTTCGCCTTTTCTTTTCCCATTTTTTTTCATTTTTTTTCCCATTTTTTTCGCTTTTTTTTTTCCATTTTTTTTTTTTTTTTCCCATTTTTTCCCATTTTTTCTTTTCCCATTTTTTTCGCCTTTCTTTCTTTTCCCATTTTTTTCGCCTTTCTTTCTTTTCCCATTTTTTTCGCCTTTCTTTCTTTTCCCATTTTTTTCGCCTTTTTCTTTTTTTTTTTTCTTTTCCATTTTTTCGCCTTTCTTTCTTTTCCCATTTTTTTTCCTTTTTCTTTCTTTTCCCATTTTTTTTTCTTTTCTTTCTTTTCCCATTTTTTTCGCCTTTTTTTTTTTTTCCCATTTTTTCGCCTTTCTTTCTTTTTTTCATTTTTTTTCGCCTTTTTTTCTTTTCCCATTTTTTTCCCATTTTTTTTCTTTTTTTTTTTCCCCCATTTTTTCGCCTTTCTTTCTTTTCCCATTTTTTTCGCCTTTCTTTCTTTTCCATTTTTTTTTCTTTCTTTCCCATTTTTTTCGCCTTTTCCCATTTTTTCGCCTTTCTTTCTTTTCCCATTTTTTTTTCCCCTTTCTTTCTTTTCCCCATTTTTTTCGCCTTTCTTTCTTTTCCCATTTTTTTTCGCCTTTTTTCTTTCTTTTTTTGCCATTTTTTTTTCCATTTTTTCGCCTTTCTTTCTTTTCCCATTTTTTTTCGCCTTTCTTTCTTTTCCCATTTTTCGCCTTTCTTTCTTTTCCCATTTTTTTTTTTTCTTTCTTTTCCCATTTTTTCTTTTTCCATTTTTTTCGCCTTTTCTTTCTTTTCCCCATTTTTTTCGCCTTTCTTTCTTTTCCCATTTTTTTTCCTTTCTTTCTTTTCCCATTTTTTTCGCCTTTCTTTCTTTTCCCATTTTTTTTTCCCATTTTTTTTCTTTTCTTTTTCCCATTTTTTCGCCTTTCTTTCTTTTTTTTTTTCGCCTTTTTTTTTTTTTTTTTCTTTCTTTTTTTCCCATTTTTTTCGCCTTTCTTTTCTTTTCCATTTTTTTTTCGCCTTTCTTTCTTTTCCCATTTTTTTCGCCTTTCTTTCTTTTCCCATTTTTTTCGCCTTTTCTTTTTTTTCCCATTTTTTTCGCCTTTCTTTTCTTTTTTCCCATTTTTTTTTCCTTTTTTTTTTCTTTTCTTTTTCCATTTTTTTTTTCTTTCTTTTTTTCCATTTTTTTTCGCCTTTCTTTCTTTTCCCATTTTTTTCGCCTTTCTTTCTTTTCCCATTTTTTTCGCCTTTCTTTCTTTTCCCATTTTTTTCGCCTTTCTTTCTTTTCCCATTTTTTTCGCCTTTCTTTCTTTTCCCATTTTTTTCGCCTTTCTTTCTTTTTCCCATTTTTTTTCGCTTTCTTTCTTTTCCCATTTTTTTCCATTTCTTTTTTTCCCCATTTTTTTTCTTTCTTTCTTTTCCCATTTTTTTCGCCTTTTCTTTCCCATTTTTCCCATTTTTTTCGCCTTTCCATTTTTTTTTTTTTCGCCTTTCTTTCTTTTCCCATTTTTTTCGCCTTTCTTTCTTTTCCCATTTTTTTCGCCTTTCTTTCTTTTCCCATTTTTTTCGCCTTTCTTTCTTTTCCCATTTTTTTCGCCTTTCTTTCTTTTCCCATTTTTTTCGCCTTCCATTTACGTCTCTTTTCCCCCCGTTTTCTAACCCTTTTTTAACCTTTCGTTTTCTTTTGACTAATATATTTCTTTTTTTTTTACTGTGGAAAAGCTCTTTTTATTTTGGAGGTGTTTTTAGGGCGTTATTATTGTGTGTTTTTAGTGGTGCACTTTTGTCCTTTTCTTTCGTCTTTCTTTTGATTTTTCATTTACTAAGCATCTTCTATTTCTTCACTCTTTAAACTTTTTTGGACATCATCCAGTTAATGGTTAATGATTAATTAATCATGCACAAATAGATAACAAGTATCGTCAGCTTAAATTTCACACTGCATAAATTGATGCTTTCAGAAAAAAAAACTGTTTATCACGACAACAAACTATGGAAACTTAAATGTACCCATTTATTTGTGGTTGCGCACCGTGGTAGATGCGTGACTGTGCATGCTTTACCGTCAACCAGAAATAACTGAATTGTGTTTTTCAAAGCACAAGTGCCGAAGAAAAAATTGCGAGGAACAAGTAAATTAGAAAAAAAATGGCATAATATACAGTTCAATGAGTTTAAGAACGGTTTACACAATCAGTATGAAAAAAGATTTCACTTATTTAGAGATCACTCATAATATAATTTATATATATATATATATATATATATATATATAGAGAGAGAGAGAGATTTCGGCAGCATGTTTTCATTTAGACATGTTTAGTTGAATAATTTAGAAATGTTCTGTCTACTTATTTTCATTTGGGCCCTTTCATATTCACAGGTAAGCTTTTGGTGTCGTTATTGAAGGAGGAGAGAAAATCGCCGCGTTGATACATGTTTATTTTTTTTATTCCGAGCACTTTTGACATAGCACAGTGTAATCATCATGGTATTTTTTATTGCAAGGCAAATATTGTGATGTTCATTATTGTCGAACACAAAAGTGTTGTGTTCATCTGAAAGTTAAATTTCTTACTTGGAGTGAAAAACGCTGAGTCAATGCGTGATCGCTGACACAGATTAAGGGGAGGTTACTGAGAATGGTAATGGAGCGTATTTTACGACATTACTAGTAAATAATTTATGAAAAACTATTAGTACAACCTTGGCATTTCAAACTATCTATTGTACACATTTTTAAAACATTTCTGGAGTATTCGTAAATAATTTTAAGGTTTGGTTTCAATTTTTTTAATATAGATAGCTTCAAGAATTTTTAGTCTGTTTCTTCTTTTCATGAAAAAGTATAGAAGTATTTTCGACAAGAATTTTTCTGAATTGCATAAGTGGACAAATATGTTGTTGCAAATTTTTTGAAATGTTGGTGATCTTATTCAAATGAAAACTTAGCCGCCGAGACAACGTTGTTGTAGTGTGTCCAACATAAATATTTTTACCATTGGAGATACAATCACCAGAGAACATTTAAATTTATAAACAATGTTGGTTTTCTGCAACACGTTAGTGGATGGGGAAGTGTCTTTACGAATGATTGTATTAAATATACTAGAATTAGTGTAGTATATAATTATTTTTATTTTTTTTTTATTAGGATCTGTGGTGGATACATTAGTATTCATTTTTTAGGATATTTTTGTCTTGTTTATAATTAGAATATTTTTGGTTGCGATATAAATGATTACTTTTTGTGGTTTGTTGAAGAAGTATTATATTTGTTTTGTAAAAATTTTTTGATGGATCATCGTATTTGTTCATCAACAACATAGTTTGGGAAGTTATTATTAATAAGAGTTTGTTTTAAATTTTTTAGTTCACTGTAGAAAATCTGGTTAGTGGATGAATTACTTTTTGAACGGTTATTTATCCTGGTACGTTTTTATATGGGGATATGGGGAACTTATTGTTATTAGGGTTTATTAGTATATCTAGAAAAGGAGTTTTGTTGCTACTATTAAATTCATATGTAAACTTAAAGACAGAATTATCCTGGAATTGTTTTTGAAATTTATGTATTTCTTGACTAATATAAGGATAACATCAACGTATCTTAGGTAGATTGAAGCTTTTTTTTTAATTGTCAAATATGTTATTTTCGAGATTAAACAAAGAAATTGCTAAAAGTCGGGCCCAGAAGTGAACCCATGAATACGCCATCCCGTTGTATATAGATGTTTTATTGTGATCATAGAATGGGATTTCAGTGGTGCAAGTTAGCAATATTTTCCGTAATATAGTAAACCTAATTTTAAGTAGAGATGGATTGTTGTATATGTTTCTTATAATAATAATTTTGCAAACAGGAACATTAGTGAATAAGTTTTCAACATCGGGTGAGGCTATGGTTTCATTGTTAGGTTTTTAACTTTTTAGAATTTGAAATACTTCCAGAGTTGTTGTCATGCTGTATTTGTTAGGAAGATATGGTGTGACAATTAATTAACAAATCGGAAACTTTAGAAAGTCATGGTAATATTTGATTTCGCGACACTGACATGGCTTTCTGTAGTCTCCGATTTGTTTGTTATTACTTGCTCTGATTATTAAATTGAGCTCTCGGGATTTATATCCTCCCTGGAATTATCCATACGGTTTACCAATTATATATTATAGGTATCCCACGATTAGTGCGGCTAATGTGTACATCGGTAACTATAAAAATCAGCTGTCAATTACTATGGTTAAACTGAAGAATGTTTTACCGTACTAATCTAGTATTATGCATGCATTCATCGAATTTTGGTATTTAAAATTTTAGCTTACTAATCGAATACGTATATATAATTTGATGCTTAGACTTTATAACATGACAGTAAAAAAACGGGTAAAATATACAGTGGTATAAACTTAATTTTTAAGTAGAGATAGAATTAAATAATTTTAATTAATTTAATTATCTGTGCTGTTAAACTTGACAAAACACGCCATATCTTTTTATATCTTAACCTATTTTTATCATGCAGATTAATGGATGATAAATTCAATGTACTTATAAAAACTTAAATATTTCCGTCCTTTACTGACACAACTAGTAAAATCCTTAAAACATACTAATACTTTTATAAACAACTTAGCGTGTTCCGAGTTAGTGTAAACTTTTCATATTCTCTCTCTCTCTCTCTCTCTTTATAGACATTCCAAGCGTGTCCATTATATTCACTGTGCGCAAAATTCCCTTGGAAAAGGTATGAATATATCACATTGTTTTCCTCCTAGCTATAGATTAAATATAAGGCAGACTGATCTTTACTTAAAATCAGCAACCAGTCTAATTGAAAACGTGAGTCTTTTGGAGATCTAATTTCATACTATCTGCTCAGTTCTCAGAATTGAACTGCTAGATCCTTATAACGTCGAAAATAACACCAGATTTCATTATATATATATATATATATATATACCGGATGTAACAAAAAATTGTCCAAAATTGTTAGATTAAGATTTCAACCGTTGTCTCGTAGAAACGATTAAAGATATCTTACTGAAATTCTCCGAAGTTTTTATAACACTATTCGGTTCTACTTTGAGCAATACGAATGTATAATTACTCTCTAAGCTTAACAGAAAAATCGTGATGAAATCGATCAAAAAGGAAAATGACATTTTAATCATTAATTAATCATAGCTAAAGTTCAATCATTTTCCAACTTATTCAAGGTAATCAAAGATATTTCTAACCTTCTAGATTTCTGTCCTGGTATAATAAGGTGCCTCAGATGTTTTACGAACAATTTCATTTTCAAGTATTTTTTCACTGCTTTTTGGACTGTCATAGTTGAAACTCCTCTCTCAAGTGCCAAACGTCTTATGGATTGAGTTGGATCTTATTTAATTGATCTCTTTAGCGCTAAGTTCCCTATACATGTTGTGACCTCGTGATCTAGTTTTCCTCTCCACTGTTCTCACTTCTTAAACTCATTCACCGTTCTCTTGATGGTTCTTGAATGAATTTTGAAGATGGAAGCCAGAGTATGAATGTTGGTACCATTGTTGAAGGCCTGAATCATTTTTCCTCTCACCATTGCTCGGTTGACAAGACAGTGGGGCTGGCAAAAAACAATTCTAACTTGTTCTCTTTCTAGCTGAATAATTCAAAGAGTTTTTCCGTGATTCTTAACGGCTTATCAGAAAACCTGTAAAAAAAGAAACGGTTAGTTTCGTGTTTTTTCTTTCTTTCTTTCTTTTTTTTTTTTCAGATATTAAACATTTTGTGGGATGGTCAATTATGCTGCAACTAGATTTGTGCAATTTTGCTGTCACACCAGATATATATATATATATATATAAATTAGTTCTCGTTATATCACCGAAGTTAAACAACGTTAGTACCTAGATGGTTGACTGCTTGGGAATACTCGGTGCTATATGTGCGCTTGATGTATTGACTAAGCTCCCGGAATTATTAATCGGAGAGTGCAAAGTTCCAATTCCCGTTGGGTTCATTATATTCACTTACGCTCACCTACATTAAGAAAGTTATGAATCAATAAGCCGTAGAAAACGATTTAATCAATCAATCAATCAGAAATTACTGTAAAAAATATCAATCGTGAATAATACTTTTCTTCATTGTCAGAAAAGTCACTACTACTGGGATTAACAAATTGCTCATCTCTGTGTAGTGGACTCTTCTTATGATGTGGCGAAAATAGAATTATCTGTGCTGTTAAACTTGACAAAACACGCCATGTCTTTTTATCTTAACCTAGGTACCTCCACGAGATCGCTAAAAAAAGAGCATAGCATGATGAAAAAGACGCCAAACTTGACGAAAACAAAATTTTATCGTCTAAATGTTTGTTATTATTAAGAGGAAAGGTCAAAGTATTTTTGGGGTATTTTTTTTCATTTTTTTAATCGTTCCTAGCATGTCCGAAATTTTCGTTAAAAATCTAGTTTTTTTTTGAGTCAGCAAAATTGACCATTTTTTTCCATTTAAAAAAAAAATGGAAATCTGACTTTGGAATTTTTTTAAATATCAATTATCATTTTTTAAAACTTATTTTAAGAAAATCAGAAATTATAATGTTTATTTAAAATAATTTTGAACCAAACTTAACTTAGCTTTTGTGCCAAAAAGATGTAATTTGAAAATAAAACAAAGCAGGTCATAAACTTTCGCGTCTCTTGACATGTGATGAATGATATATTTACGAATTCCATGAGGCTAATTTGTTCTACAGAAGGAGAAAAGTGAAATAATTTACATTTACGTGAACAAATTAATTACCCCGTTATTTTTGACGAAAACTTTCAGCGGTCTAATTTTTTTTTTTTTTGTACTTAGCTTTC